TTACGGAGGAAGAATTCTGTTCCACTTCCCCATGGAGATAAGAGGAAATAAACAAGAATAAGAACTAGAAAGAAAATAGAAGAAAACCCAGAGGGGTGTGTATATATGTGCTTGTACATGTATGTGTAGTGTGACCTAAGTGTAAGTAGAAGTAGCAAGACGTACCTGAAATCTTGCATGTTCATGAGACAGAAAAAAGGACACCAGCAATCCTACCATCATGTAAAACAATTACAGGCTTTCGTTTTACACTCACTTGGCAGGACGGTAGTACCTCCCTGGGCGGTTGCTGTCTACCAACCTACTACCTATAATATATATATTTTTTTTTTTTTTTTTTTTTTTTTTTTTTTTTTCAACAAGTCGGCCGTCTCCCACCGAGGCAGGGTGACCCAAAAAAGAAAGAAAATCCCCAAAAAGAAAATACTTTCATCATCATTCAACACTTTCACCACACTCGCACATTATCACTGTTTTTGCAGAGGTGCTCAGAATACAACAGTCTAGAAGCATAAACATATAAAGATACACAACATATCCCTCCAAACTGCCAATATCCCAAACCCCTCCTTTAAAATGCAGGCATTGTACTTCCCATTTCCAGGACTCAAGTCCGACTATATTGAAAATAACCGGTTTCCCTGAATCCCTTCACTAAATATTACCCTGCTCACACTCCAACAGATCGTCAGGTCCCAAGTACCATTCGTCTCCATTCACTCCTATCTAACACGCTCACGCACGCTTGCTGGAAGTCCAAGCCCCTTACCCACAAAAACCTCCTTTACCCCCTCTCTCCAACCCTTTCGAGGACGACCCCTACCCCGCCTTCCTTCCCCTATAGATTTATATGCTTTCCATGTCATTCTACTGTGATCCATTCTCTCTAAATGACCAAACCACCTCAACAACCCCTCTTCTGCCCTCTGACTAATACTTTTATTAACTCCACACCTTCTCCTAATTTCCACACTCCGAATTTTCTGCATAATATTTACACCACACATTGCCCTTAAACAGGACATCTCCGCTGCCTCCAACCGTCTCCTCGCTGCTGCATTTACCACCCAAGCTTCACACCCATATAAGAGTGTTGGTACTACTATACTTTCATACATTCCCTTCTTTGCCTCCATAGATAACGTTTTTTGACTCCACATATACCTCAACGCACCACTCACCTTTTTTCCCTCATCAATTCTATGATTAACCTCATCCTTCATAAATCCATCTGCCGACACATCAACTCCCAAGTATCTGAAAACATTCACTTCTTCCATACTCCTCCTCCCCAATTTGATATCCAATTTTTCTTTATCTAAATCATTTGACACCCTCATCACCTTACTCTTTTCTATGTTCACTTTCAACTTTCTACCTTTACACACATTCCCAAACTCATCCACTAACCTTTGCAATTTTTCTTTAGAATCTCCCATAAGCACAGTATCATCAGCAAAAAGTAACTGTGTCAATTCCCATTTTGAATTTGATTCCCCATAATTTAATCCCACCCCTCTCCCAAACACCCTAGCATTTACTTCCTTTACAACCCCATCTATAAATATATTAAACAACCATGGTGACATTACACATCCCTGTCTAAGACCTACTTTTACCGGGAAGTAGTCTCCCTCTCTTCTACACACCCTAACCTGAGCCTCACTATCCTCATAAAAACTCTTTACAGCATTTAATAACTTACCACCTATTCCATATACTTGCAACATCTGCCACATTGCTCCTCTATCCACTCTATCATATGCCTTTTCTAAATCCATAAATGCAATAAAAACTTCCCTATCTTTATCTAAATACTGTTCACATATATGCTTCAATGTAAAACACCTGATCTACACATCCCCTACCCACTCTAAAAACCTCCTTGCTCATCCGCAATCCTACATTCTGTCTTACCTCTAATTCTTTCAAATTATAACCCTACCGTACACTTTTCCTGGTATACTCAGTAAGCTTTTCCTCTATAATTTTTACAGTCTCTTTTGTCCCCTTTCCCTTTATATAAAGGGACTATACATGCTCTCTGCCAATCCCTAGGTACCTTCCCCTCTTTCATACATTTATTAAACAAAAGTACCAACCACTCCAACACTATATCCCCCCCTGCTTTTAACATTTCTGTCATGATCCCATCAGTTCCAGCTGCTTTACCCCCTTTCATTTTACGTAATGCCTCACGTACCTCCCCCACACTTACATTCTGCTCTTCTTCACTCCTAAAAGATGGTATACCTCCCTGACCAGTGCATGAAATTACTGCCTCTGTTTCTTCCTTAACATTTAAAAGTTCCTCAAAATATTCTCGCCATCTTCCCAATACCTCCATCTCCCCATCTACTAACTCCCCTACTCTGTTTTTAACTGACAAATCCATATTTTCCCTAGGCTTTCTTAACTTGTTTAACTCACTCCAAAATTTTTTCTTATTTTCATTAAAATTTCTTGACAGTGCCTCTCCCACTCTATCATCTGCTCTCCTTTTGCACTCTCTCACCACTCTCTTTACCTTTCTTTTACTCTTCATATACTCTGCTCTTCTTATAACACTTCTGCTTTGTAAAAACCTCTCATAAGCTACCTTTTTCTCTTTTATCACACCCTTTACTTCATCATTCCACCAATCACTCCTCTTTCCTCCTGCCCCCACCCTCCTATAACCACAAACTTCTGCCCCACATTCTAATACTGCATTTTTAAAAACTATTCCAACCCTCTTCAACCCCCCACTACTCATCTTTGCACTAGCCCACCTTTCTGCCAATAGTCGCTTATATCTCACCCGAACTCTCCTCCTCCCTTAGTTTATACACTTTCACCTCCCTCTTACTTGTTGTTTGCCACCTTCCTCTTTTCCCATCTACCTCTTACTCTAACTGTAGCTACAACTAAATAAATGATCGATATATCAGTTGCCCCTCTATAAACATGTACATCCTGGAGCCTACCCATCAACCTTTTATCCACCAATACATAATCTAATAAACTACTTTCATTACGTGCTACATCATACCTTGTATATTTATTTATCCTCTTTTTCATAAATATGTATTACTTATTACCAAATTTCTTTCTACACATGCTCAATTAAAGGCTCCCCATTTACATTTACCCTGGCACCCCAAATTTACACTACTACTCCCTCCATAACATTTTTACCCACTTTAGCATTAAAATCCCCAACCACCATTACTCTCACACTTGATTCAAAACTCCCCACGATTCACTCAACATTTCCCAAAATCTCTCTCTCTCTCTACAACTTCTCTCTTCTCCAGGTGCATACACGCTTATTATAACCCACTTTTCACATCCAATCTTTATTTTTACTCCACATAATCCTGAATTTAATACATTTATAGTCCCTCTTTTCCTGCATAGCTTATCCTTCAACATTTGCTACTCCTTCTTTAGCTCTAACTCTTTTGAAACCCCTGACTAATCCCATTTATTCCTCTCCACTGAAACCTCTCCCACCCCCTTCAGCTTTGTTTCACTTAAAGCCAGGACATCCAGCTTCTCTCATTCATAACATCCACAATCATCTCTTTCTTATCATCTGCACAACATCCACGCACTTCAGACTTCCCACTTTGACAATTTCTTCTTCTTATTCTTTTTAGTAATCTTTACAGGAAAAGGGGTTACTAGCCCATTGTTCCCCCGGCATTTTAGTTGACTTTTACAACACGCATGGCTTACGGAGGAAAGATTCTTATTCCACTTCCCATGGATTTTTAAAAGGAAAATTAATAAGACCAAGAACTATTAAGATAAAATCAAGAAAAACCAGTTGAGTTGTATAATAAATGTGTACATGTATGTTTTGTGTGCCCTAAGTGTAATTTGTTATATATATATTATATATATATATATATTTATTATATTTATATATATATAATATTATATATATATATATATTTTATTTATATATATATTATTTATTTTTTTATTTATTTATTTATTTTTTTTCCAACAAGTCGGCCGTCTCCCACCTAGGCAGGGTGACCCAAAAAAGAAAGAAAATCCCCAAAAAGAAAATACTTTCATCATCATTCAACACTTTCACCACACTCACACATAATCACTGTTTTTGCAGAGGTGCTCAGAATACAACAGTTTAGAAGCATATACGTATAAAGATACACAACATATTCCTCCAAACTGCCAATATCCCAAACTCCTCCTTTAAAGTGCAGGCAACATTGTACTTCCCATTTCCAGGACTCAAGCCCGACTATATGAAAAGATGCATGCAACATTGGGTATCTTTGTCAAATGGTATTGCTTGCATAACAGACTTCTTCAGTTGAATACAGGCAAATACAATGGTGGAAATAGTAGAAGTAGTTTTGAGATCAGTCCATAACCTCAAGATTTGGCTGCATGCTTATATTTTGTGCTTGAGAGACTGATCACCTCCTACCAAGGGTGACAGATTGATCATGTCAAAACTACTACTGTTTGTAGTTTTGTATTTGCTTGTATTCAGTTGTGAAAGCCTGTTATGCTGGCAGAACATTTTGACAAAAAAGTCAAATATTGCATGTGTTCACCAACTTACTTATATACTATCAATAATATGATACTTTTTGTATTATGCACTCATGAAACAGAGGCCTAATTCCACTATGCCTCATAAACAATGATCCCATCTCTGGTAAGCATTTTTTTTTTTTTTATTATTATTATTATTATTGGACAAACATAATAGAAATTATATACAGAATGTTATTGTCCCAGTCCCCATCTTAAGCTGTAGCATGGGTTTCTATGGGCAAAGAAAATTACTTAAACCATTGCTTTCTTCCCTGTTGAGGTCATCAAGTAGGGACCCACTGTATTATGGCTTGAGAATGCATTGTTGATTGTAACATGGGTGTTAATGAAAAAATAAGTTTAGAACAAATGTCAGGAAATCAACATCATAAATGGGAGACCAACTGTACCTACAACTGACTCCAAAGTTTAATTCTTTACAGGTTATGCATGCAAGATCACTTCACTTCTTGGCCCCTCATCCAGTTTAGCAACATTAGATGCCTCTGTAATTATAGAGGCTGTTGTAGTTGGCAGAGGTCAGCAGGGAGAGGTGCGGTCCGGTCAGGTCACAGTACCCTTCCACCCCTCGCCAGTCTTGGACACGTATGAAGTAAAACTTACTAACGAGGAGCCTTCTGTAACAGCCTTCTTTCAGGGCACATCAGCTGTTCTTGATAAGCTGGAGGTTAGTTACACCTATGTACATCCTGTATTTAACCGTCCCCATGCATACAGCATGGGGAGGGTTTTGTTCAAGCTTTCATAAAGTATCATGATTTGAATTCTGGAAGTAAATACTCACTGTGTGTAGCTTTGACTTGTACATATGCGAGTATATCATTTTGTAATACTCCTTGTTCATAATGTTATTTACAGCCATCTTCTTCACTAGGATTTCACAAGTCTTTAATATAAAGCAGTGGAAATTGAGAGGATTTATCCTTGGACTACGTAATTAACTCGTATTCCCCAAATAAAGTATAGCCAGGAATTATTGGCCTTGGTTTATGGCATCCCAGTAATTGAATCAGGCTTATTAAAAACCCATAAAACAGAGTAGGTGGGGTCTTTCAGGTCCTCGGAAAAATTAGATATTTCTGCTACTTTGAGCCTAATTTCAAGCTATTTCCAGTTCTGAAACTAACCAAAATCATCTATTTTAATAGTGGTTTCCATTCTATCAAATGATACTAAGAAATAGCCAATAAATCCATAAAAACCATCCTAGAAAACACCTCAAAGTCGCTGTTTTAAACCAAACACAAGGTCAGAGTTTTGCTTTTTCCATCATGCACTGTGTGGGAGCTGGATTTTTTTTTGTACTGTGCACGCTCACCATGCAGACCTGTTCTCTCGTATCTAGGCCAAAATTTACTGCTTATCTGAGTGAACCGAGCTCATGTCATAGAACTATGTGAGGGACCCTGGCACCTATGATGTAGCTCTACATGAAGGCCACTGAAAGGGTCAAATTTTTGAGCTGTTTATTGAAAAAAATCATGCCCACTGTATAAGAAATTGTTTTCTTTATGGATAGAATTTAAATGAAAAATCAGAACAATGTGGTGTGGAAAAAAAAATTTAAATAATTTACAGGTGCTTGCATGCTCAGTTAATGGCATAGAGGTGTCTTTGGGCTACATGAAAGACAACAAGAAACCATTGATCATCTCTTCCAAGGAATCGTTATGGTCTTCAGAACTGTCACAGTCTAAATTTTCAGTATCTGTGAATTCGCCTCTCACCAAGAATATCATCGAGGTTAGTTTAACTATACTGTAATGAATTGTTTTTTGGTTCATATTCTTTTTTCCGTCAGCTTCGTTTTATTTCTGTTTGACTTGCATAATAGCTTTATTGTCTTGACAGTACTGTTAGCCGAAAAAAGGAAATTAATACAAATAAAATAATTATTCAAGTTTCAGAGGTGAACTCTATTAAAATGCAGAAACTAACAATAATTATTAGCAGTTACTTTTATTTATGTAACAATTCAGATGCCATGAAATTTGTCATTATTATTTTTATTATGATTAAGTTTGATGCTGCCTTGTTTCTTTGGTATCATTGTTCATGTGGGCATCATAATCAAAGCTTTTATGTCAATATTTCAGTGTTTGGGTAAATTGAATGCATTATGAACTTAAAACTTAAAAATTTCTAGGGACAAAACTGATCAGTTTGCAATATATAAAAAGGTAGAGGAAGCTCACATCATTGGATAATTGTGCCATCAGAAAATTCTACAGCCAGCTCTTATAAAGCTCCTTTTTATAGTACTGTTTTTAGTGTGATTAAAAAAGTTTATTGAAAATTGAAAGTGCTTTAATCCCATTTTTCATGAATGTGATTAAAAAAGTATTGAAAATTGAAGGGCATGAATTGTGAAGGCCTTTCCCTTTGCTGTTTAGCTTTGGATGTTCTGTTTCAGTCTCATTTGTGAAAAAAATTACACTTGACAGAGGAGCTTTATAGGAGAGCTGACTTGTAGTTCTCTGCTTTTGAGTTTGTAGGTGGTAAACTTAGGGTTGAGTCTTAGGCCCACCTCTCCACAATGGTGATATCCCCCTCCCATCACCTGTTATCTTCCTTTTACCCCTCCATCCTTTCTCCCTGATTGCCATCCTCCTCCCCCATTTCCACCCCCTCTCCCATCCCCCATTTCCACCCCTCTCTCCATCCCCCATTTCCACCCTCTCTTCCATCCCCCATTTCCACCCTCTCTTCCATCCCCCATTTCCACCCTCTCTTCCATCCCCCATTTCCACCCTCTCTTCCATCCCCCATTTCCACCCTCTCTTCCATCCCCCATTTCCACCCTCTCTTCCATCCCCCATTTCCACCCTCTCTTCCATCCCCCATTTCCACCCTCTCTTCCATCCCCCATTTCCACCCTCTCTTCCATCCCCCATTTCCACCCTCTCTTCCATCCCCCATTTCCACCCTCTCTTCCATCCCCATTTCCACCCTCTCTTCCATCCCCATTTCTACCCTCTCTTCCATCCCCCATTTCACCTTCTCTTCCATCCCCCATTTCCACCTTCTCTTCCATCCCCCATTTCTACCCTCTTCCATCCTCCATTTCCACCCTCTTTCCATCCCCATTTCCACCCTCTTTCCATCCCCCATTTCCACCCTCTCTTCCATCCCCCATTTCTACCCTCTTCCATCCCCCATTTCCACCTTCTTCCATCCCCCATTTCTACCCTCTTCCATCCTCCATTTCCACCCTCTTTTCCATCCCCCATTTCCACCCTCTCTTCCATCCCCCATTTCCACCCTCTCTTCCATCCCCCATTTCTACCCTCTCTTCCATCCCCCATTTCCAACTCCCCCCCCTACTTTCATCCCCCATTTTGATCCCTTCTCATCTCCCATTTTTTTCTCCTGTATTTCTTCCCTACTTTTTCCTCTTATCTTTTTTCTTCTCTCCATTTTTTCTCTCATTCTCTCCCTTCATTTCTTTCTCCCTATTATCTTTCCCTTCCTTGTCTCTCTTCAGTCACTCATATGCTCTTTCCTCATCAATCTCTCTCCCAGATTCTTTTTTCATATAAACTCTTGGTCCTTTTTTTTCCCCCCCCAGAAAAATAAGTTTTTATTCTCGACTAGGTCATGGTAGAATTGGAGCTAGTGGGGGACGGGACCTGTGCTGTGCCGCGCGTAGACCTGGGATTCTTCAGTCTTATTGTGGCTGTGATTGCCAACTACGACCAGTTTCTTGTTAGCTTTGGCTGCCTTTTCCTTATAGTTGCCTCTATCCTAGTAGGTAAGTAGGTGAAGATGAAATGGTTCAATACATATTGTAGTTATACATGATTATGATATAAAAGCTTTTAGTAATGACAGGTATAAGTAAAATTAATTTTACAAAATTACATTCCATTTGATACGTCGCATTTGATTTGGAAAACTGGTCTGTGCATATGCGTATAACAGTTGTAGCATACAATATTTATAAATGTTTTAATATACTGTTCTTATTCCATTTGAAAAGGATATCATGCTCTCTTTGGCCCTGGCTACAAACAAACACAACAGAAAGGTGTTTTTGCTAACTCACCTGCACCTCCTCCAACTATGTCATCATTTTCCCCAGGTGAGTCACTCATTATATATTTTGTTCTCAACTGCATTTGCAGTAGAATATTTAAATTCCAGAATTTTCATGAATTGGTCCAATATGTAACTTACTATTTTATAAACCACCATCTTAACCCTTTTCATGGTCGACAGGCCCTCTCCCAGACTTGTTCTCAGGGTCGAAAATTTTTCAAAAAAAAAAAAAATTCTTATGAAAAGATAGCTTTTTTTTTTTTAACATTATAGGCTAAAAAAAAAATTTTTGCCATCAATACTTACCGAGATATGGAGGCGTGAAGTTAACAGAAAATGAACCGCATATGGCATCATTGCCGACTGCCAGTCACCTGGTAATCTTTTATTTACTTTTTTCTATTATTTTTTATTTTTTTTTTTTCAAGTTACTTTTATGGCCTGTGAGACCAATATGAGCACTATTTTGTAAGTTTTTTCTCTTTCTATACTACACAATAACTGCACAAACACTGTTGTCACTATATTGTTTACAAAACTTGTTTACACAAACGAACAATATAAAATGTTGTTTATTACTATTTTTCTATATTTTATATACACATATACAGTCACCGGACATATTTCTAGAAGTTCTACAGCCTGTGGAAGTCTTTGAAACATGGTGTCATGCACAGTGGTGTTTTACACTCCTCACACACAAAACGAGTGTCTCTGCATTGTTGTGGGCGTTTTTTTGTATATGCACAGACGTAACACCTCTTCTGAGCCTTTTTCTTGAAAGCAGTAGCAGGCAGTTTTATTAGGAAGTGATCACCATGCTTCAGACGAGAAGGTAGTTGTTGATAATTTAGTGGGTGGTTTTCTATTGCAGGTGTTGTTCCTTGGTACTTGAATACTATTTGTCTGATGACAGACAAACAAAATTCACCACATGGTAGTTTGTTTCTGGTCCTCATCTTATACATTTTATAAGCATTGAGCATGGAAATGTCCAGAATATGGAAAAAGAGTTTTATGTACCACTTATAACTCTTGCGAACACAATCAGCAAACCCAATGTGCATGTCACATTTGTCCACTGAGCGCATATTGAGGGTGTAGTCCATCACAGCTGCAGGTTTTAGAATGGGTTCATTGGTGTGTGTATTCTGCCTGCCAGTGTTTGTCATGTTGTTAGGGTGAACTGATGACAACAGTGTGACATCTCATTTGTCATGCCACCTAAATGCCATGATGTCATTGGCAGCAAACGCCTGCACCTCACCTCTACGAGTGCCAGTGTCAAACCTGGGCATATCCTTATGATTTCCATGCACTGTGCCACACACATCTGTCATGTTCACTCGCAAAAAATCACTGAGTGAGGGGCTTGTGTACCAATTCTTTCTTCTTCTTTCAACATACCAGCTGTATCCCACCGAGGTGGGGTGGCCCAAAAGGAAAAACGAAAGTTTCTCCTTTCAAATTTAGTAATGTATACAGGAGAAGGGGTTACTAGCCCCTTGCTCCTGGCATTTTAGTCGCCTCTTAAGAAACGCATGGCTTACGGAGGAAGAATTCTGTTCCACTTCCCCATGGAGATAAGAGGAAATAAACAAGAACTAGAAAGAAAATAGAAGAAAACCCAGAGGGGTGTGTGTATATATATGCTTGTACATGTATGTGTAGTGTGACCTAAGTGTAAGTACAAGTAGCAAGACGTACCTGAAATCTTGCATGTTTATGAGACAGAAAAAAGGACACCAGCAACTCTACCATCATGTAAAACAATTACAGGGTTTCGTTTTACACTCATTAACAGGACGGTAGTACCTTCCTGGGCGGTTGCTGTCTACCAGCCTACTACCTATTGTGTACCAGTTATCAGTATATAATATGTGCCCCTTACCAAGATATGGTTCCATTATTGTTCTAACCACATCACCAGAGATGCCCAATAGCTTCCTGGTATTTTACAGTGTATAACTTCCAGTGTACACAATAATATCCAATACAAGACCACTGTAGCAGTCACAAAGCACAAATAACTTTATACCAAAGCGTTTCCTCTTGCTTGGTATGTACTGCTTGAATGAGAGTCTTCCTTTGAACAGAATCAAAGACTCATCAATAACAAGCTTCCTGAAGGGAGGATAAAAATACATGCTGAATTTCTGTTTCAGATACACAAACACATTCTTAATCTTATATAACCTGTCGTTTCTGTCAGGCCTGGTTTTGTCTGAGAAGTGAAGCATACGTAATAGTAGCACAAATCGATTCACTCGCATTATATCACTGAAACCTGGGGTTGTAATCAGGAGGTCTGTTGACCAGTATGATTTGACACTGTGCTTATACACATGTGGCATAAGCATTATTGTGGCAAAGAAAAGATACATTTCAGCCACAGTTGTCTCCTTCCACTGGTGTAGGCATGATTTTGGTGAAAGTATTGTGTTTGCCATGGTGTACTCATAGTATCTGTTGCTTTCCCTGACAATAATTTCCATCAGGGGTTCGTCAAAGAATAACTTGAAACATTCTAGTTCAGTGGCATTGTTCCCATTGTTCCCACTTTGAGTTTCATCAAAGTGATGAGGATTGGGAACAAAATTGTCAGCTTCCTGCCAATCCCAGGCATGGTCTGCTGGTGGGTACTGGATATTGACAGGTGGTTGTGGTTGTGGAGGCTGGTGTGGTGGGTGGGCGGGGGATGGTGGCCTTTGTTGTAGATCAGCTGAGGCAGCGGCGTGGGTGGCAGCATGGCCCACTGCTGGTGCCTCACGGCTGGCACCACCACCATGCACGTTTTCCATCCCAATTGCAATACTATCATCTTCATTTTCACTATCTGTTCCTGTTGTACAGCCACGGGATGTACTGCGAGATGTACTCCTTCCCCTTGGAATAGCATATGGCACACTACCAGAGCGTATATACTGACGCTTCACTGGAGAATATTCCACTTCACTATCGCTATTGGAACTGTTTTCAAGAGCTTGTAGTTCATATTCACTATCACTCTCATCACCAATGCTCACATCTGAGTCCAGGATATGGGAAAATATGAGTTTTCTCTTTTGTTCTGGTACAGCTGAATGTGAACAAGACAGCCCAGCATCAGAGGTAGAAGGCTGAGGGTCGTCTGGGTTTTCCTCACTATTACTGGTATTATGATCATTAGTTTCGGTCACAACCTCATCAAAACCTTGAAACTTATCTTCACTGGCACTTCCATCTGTATTAGAACTGTCACTGGGGAACAGAAGTGTCCCAATTCTCCGAGGAGTGAGGAGTTTCTTACCGCGAGGCATGGAGAACAAGGTGCACTAAAATGGCATTCCCACAATGCACCACTGGGTCCCAGATTTTTTTCTACTGCGCACGCCCATTCTCTCACATCTAGGCCTACCAGCCTTTTCCCGCTTGATTTGAAGGCACTAGAATTTATGCGTACTAGTACGTCAACAACCCTGGCGCGTAAGCCATACTAGTACGTCGGAAACCCTGAAAGGATTAATCAGTTCAATCCAGTGTGTTTTATCTTGAACTTAAGAAAGGAGGACATTCAGCACCTCTCTGGAAAAGGTAGTCAGATTTTAATTGCTACATCTTAATCTGTTATGTTGGTCTTTAGTAGGCCCAGTCATTGTGACCCTTTGATTTACTGTAGGTCATATATTGCCGGGAAGCATCATTGCCAGTGCCTATGTCTAAATATTTTCATATACTGGTCAGTTATGTACCAGTGTTAATACTATAAATTTGTAGAGGATTAAGATACAGATTGGCCATCACTAATCCGGCATCATCGGGACCTGTAGGGTGCTGGATTAGTGATGGCCAACCTGTATATGTGGATGCAGAGAGTATGAAGATCCAAGGAACTGAGACAAGAGATAGAGGAGACAATTGTTATAAAGATGGGCCAATAGTTTTACAGCCTCAGGGTGGTCAGTAAGTGGAGCAAACCAGATTAGGTTGAGGTAGACATGATAGGGTTTTAGAAGCCAGGAATCAGTTGTAGTAGTGAAGAGGCATATTTTGTGACTAGTCTTTCTTTCTTTCAACACACCGGCCGTATCCCACCGAGGCGGGGTGGCCCAAAAGGAAAAACGAAAGTTTCTCCTTTTACATTTAGTAATATATACAGGAGAAGAGGTTACTAGCCCCTTGCTCCCGGCATTTTAGTTGCCTCTTACAACACGCATGGCTTACGGAGGAAGAATTCTGTTCCACTTCCCCATGGAGATAAGAGGAAATAAACAAGAATAAGAACTAGAAAGAAAATAGAAGAAAACCCAGAGGGGTGTGTATATATGTGCTTGTACATGTATGTGTAGTGTGACCTAAGTGTAAGTAGAAGTAGCAAGACGTACCTGAAATCTTGCATGTTCATGAGACAGAAAAAAGGACACCAGCAATCCTACCATCATGTAAAACAATTACAGGCTTTCGTTTTACACTCACTTGGCAGGACGGTAGTACCTCCCTGGGCGGTTGCTGTCTACCAACCTACTACCTATATATATATATATATATATATATGTATATACATACATACATACATACACATATGCATGTCCAAATAACGAGTTTTCCTGAATCCCTTCACAAGTTACTTTCCTCACACTCCAACAGCACATCCTTAATTAAACACCATCTGTCTCCATTTATTCTTATCCAACACACTCTACAAGCCTGCTGGAACTCTAAATATATTGAAAAGGAAAGATACACAAATACCCTGCACATAAAAGAAATAAGGTTATGGCAACGCTTCGATCCAATTTGAAACACTGACTTTGTGACTAGTCATGACCACATAAAAGATCACAAAAGAATACGAGATATCAGAAAGAGATGATTTGTTAGTACCATCAGCAGTGAGTAAGAAAGTTCATAGTTGTTAACTGAAAATAGTGCCAAAAATAACAGACAAATTTTATCAATAATGTGGTGGTAGACTACTGGGATGGCAGCCAGAAGGATGTAGTACAGTACAGTGCTCTTCAAACTTTTTTGTCCCACAACCCAATGAAAGAACTAGTCTTGTTAGCATACTAACAAATTATCCTCGAACAGAATTAACGTATGTTGATTTCATTCCTATAACTTCATTAAAGGATTGCTTGTTGAAGTGTATGGAGAGAGCTGACATGGCCTTAATGTGCCAAGTTATATTTAGTGAAGTTTATCATCATACATAAACTTGCTACATAGTAACAAATGTAAAAATAAAAGCCACATTTCTTTACCAAATTAACCAAGCACAAGGAACTCACCACAGTTATACAGGCAAACTTATACCAAAGATAACTTTGTTTGATAAAGCCAAAGGAAAGAAGAAAATTGCAAAAATGTAGGAGGTAACACCAACTGCCACCACCACCACTGCCATTAATGGTCATCAATGTAACAGTATCTTTAAGAAAGAAGGAACATTTCCTTACCAAATTGTACAAAGCATATTAGAACTCACCACACCTATACCAAACACATAGTCTAGTGGCCTGGGGAGTAGATTAAGAAACTCTGCAGAGGAAACTACCCAGATTTCATGCATTGCTTAATTTTCTTTATAATTTATGGCATTCAATACTGATCTTTTTCCATTTTATGATTTTTTCACTACAAGGTTGTAAAAGAAGTATGGGTATGGCAGAGAGGAGTGGGATTGCAAGGTAATGAATCTGTTGCTTTTAGTGGATGATTCAGTTTTTTGGGGGGGGAGATTCTGGATAGAATTTGCGAAGTTTGGTGGATGAGTTTAGGAGGGTGTATAAACTAAGGAAATTGAAAATGAACACAAAAAAAGAGCAAAATAATAAGATTAACAAAATGTTTAGACAGTGAAAAATTGGACATAGCATATGGAAGAAGTGAATATTTTAGTTATAAAATGCAAGAGCTTTTGTTTTTTCTTTGGCGAGTGATTCAAAAACACTTTCTTTTCTCACCTATATGCTGTATTATCTGATCCAGTTTTTTGTTTTTTATTGCAGCGGTTTCAAGTTCACCTGGAAGTGGAGGCAATGATTCTGCCACCAAGCGTCATGGCTACACGTCTCCTTCTCCACAGAGGATCAAACTTTGGAGTGTCAACACAGATCCAATTTATGGTGCTCCACCATACAGAAGAGGAGCATATGAGGGATCTCCCACTTATGGTGTTACACCTAAATGACTTTAGTTACGATGCTAATGCTTATATTTCCAAAGGTGTAATTGTATACCGTCTGTTATGTTGTCCTTGTGTTCTAGCTTCTAGGCTGTTTTAAGCCTTATAATACATTTTTATGGTATCCTAAAACATTTCATAATGTTTTAGGATCCTGAATCATGACTCGTGCTTGATCCTGTGGATATGTATGGTCAGTTGATCTTAATTGACTGGTGTATATAACTGGTTACTGTACTTAGTTACTGTATATAAAACTGTATTAAAGTGGCTAGCTAGTATTGGGGGTTGGGAAGGGAGGTAACATCTCACAAAAAGTTAAAGAAATCTTCATTATTTATTGATTTGACAAGTCTTAAAATCTCCATTTTTTTATGGGGTGGAGATGATAATTTCAATTAAAATAATTTATTTGTAATTTATTTGCTGTTAGGCTTCCACTGTAGATTACATTCAGTATTTTTTTTTTCACTTACAAATAGTGTTAAATCTAGTTTAATAAAGAGAGCAGAGTTGCAATGCAGTACAGTTTAGGGTGCATTTTAGCAAATATTAAGCGAGATGCATTTGGCTAAATAGCAAACCTAGGAAAAAATACTGTAATTTATAATTCAGCCTTAAGAAAGTTGTAAACCCTTATATTCTTTTGGGTAAACACCTGATGCTTGACATGAGTGTGAGGTAGTGAAGATCAGGTCATAGTGTATGTAACATAAATCTGTAGTTCTTTACCATTCCTGACCAGATAAATGTAAGCTCTATACATGCATAATACGAACGTACAGGTATGAGTGCATTTGGTAAGACTAACAAAAAAAGTTTTTTTTTTTTAATTCAACCTTTAGTAAATTTTAATTAGTTTTGTACATCAGAAGAGCAAGTTAGTTTTCATGAGTCAGTAATTAATTATAAAAGAGCCAATGTCATAATATTGAAACATTGTAAGTCAAGTCCTACTGTATTGTTTTTGCTTTGAAAGCAACTTGACTTAGACTTGCTAATATTTGCTTAACATTATCCAGTAAACCCTCAATTTAACATACAGTGGACCCTCCCTTTTCGTCGATCTCCATTATTGCCAATTTCCATTTTCGTCGACTTTTTTCGTCTATGGTACGGATCCTGTCTAGTGCCCAGCACGCAGACAAAGCTGCCTCCCACACGCATTCTCAGGTAGTGTTGTAGTGTTTCTCGGTGAGTGAACATATCCTGCCAGATCATACAAAGCATTTTATAATCCATTGTTTTTGGCACTTGTTTATTGTGTGTGACTGCTAAATAAGCCACGATGGGCCCAAAGAAAGCTTCTAGTGGCAGCCCTTTGGTGAAGAATGTGAGAAACATGATATAATTCAAGAAAAAGTTTGTAGAAAAACACGATATAATTCAAGAAAAAGTTTGTAGAAAAATACAGCCCTTGTGGTTTAGTGCTTCTTTTTGATTATAATAATGTAGAAAAATACAAAAGTGGTGGTGGTAGAGGGTGGTAGTGATTGTGGTAGAGGGTGGTAGTGATGGTGGTAGAGGGTGGTTGTGGTTGTGATGGTGGTAAAGGGTGCCTTCTTCAGTGATTTAGCGATTCTGCTAACTCCTCCAATGTTGCTGGAGTTATATAGGGCTACAGAAAACACTGCCGCCTCAGCTGCAGCCTTCACCACCATTATGTACAGCTTATGCTCACAGTGGCCCTTATACACCCAACAACAACAACAGAACACCAGTCATGACATACATAATGACTTATTTTATTCATTTTAGAGTATGTCATGTTTCTATGTTGTTAATATTGTTTATTATGTCATATTAGTTGAATTGTGATAGATAAATAAGCCGTAGAGTTGATATTAGTGTCATATTCTCCAACAATAAACTCGCCTCCCTCTTCCCTATGCCCAGTCTGCCATACACCAACAAGTCTTCAATAAAGGTAAGGATGATGTTAAATGTTCATTTATACATTTTATTAGTGCTTAATAATTATATTTGAGCTAGGGAAGTGACCCCTGATAAGGACTTGGTACCTAGAGTCCTTATGGAGGGGGATTCCCCTTCCAAACAATAACCTCTCTTCCCTCTCCCCTCCTCCCTGTCTTCCATCCATCAACAACAACTTTCAATAAAGGTAAGTGTCATGTTGAATGTTCATTCTCTTGTGCATGTAAATCTATCTTTAAGGTAAAAAAAAATTTTTTTTTGTTAATACTCCTGGGTGTCTGGAACGGATTAATTGGATTTACATTATTTCTTATGAGGAAAAAGGTTTCTGTTTTAGCCAATTTCCGTTTTTGCCGATTGCCCTGGAGCTGATTAAACACGAAAACTGAGGGTCCACTGTACTTTTAAAATAATGGGCAAAATACACCAAATAAATTGTACATTCAACTCCTTTTTCATTATTTGTTGTTGTATACAATACTGCATTAGGTATACAGTAAGAGTACTAAGTACTTTTTGTTGTGATTTTTTTAGTGTCCGTGTTATTTAAGAAATGCTCAAACACTCCTCTTGTAGTCTCTCGTATTGTAGTTTTGCTGTAATTTAATGCTGCATAATATAAGCAAGGTGAACTTACTCCTTAAATTGTTTATCATATATTTTTATAGCCATTCGGGGAACTGGATATAAAGTAGAGCAGCTAATTTATTTTGCGAGGTGGAAGAAAGAATAAAAAGTCACAACACTGTGGATTTTTAGTAAGATTTGGCAGAACTTAGCAAGCGAATTGCATATGTGCCAAATTTGTATTTTAGAATTAATTAAAAAGGCTGCATACCCACCAGGAAGGTTGGTCAATAATAAAATGGGCTTAATGCTTAGAGGGCAGTGCTTTATGAGAAAAGAACACTGGTATTATCGTATAATATTGAAGACAACATTGGCAGTGATACCAGTATTCGATTACAATGTATGTTTTGTTTTGGGGAGTAAATAAAATGTGTATAGAAGAAACAAAAACATGGTTGCCTAAGTAGGGAAGGGACAATACCAGAATTTTTGTCAATATTGATACCATACCCTCTAGGTTTAGTGCTTCTTTTTTATTATAATAATAATACTATACCCACCAATACCTATACAGGTTGGCCATCAGTAATCCTGCACTAATTTCAACTAGCATAATTTCAAATTTCTGGGGTTGCCTAACCAACCAGCCGCTACTGTTTGGTGGCGCTACTTGCTGCATAAGTAATTCCAATTTCTTTTTCTCCACTTATTGTTATAACCTGCTCACTTTTAGCCCTAGCCATGGTTCCAGTGAATAAAAGAAATGCTTCTCGTTGTGTAAAGCACATACATCGTACATTGTCCATAAAAGATAAGATGGCTTTGAAGCCACTGTCGGTCACCATGAGCTCAGCTCACTCATATAAGTTGTGACTGGTAAATTTGGGCCTACATATGAGAGAATAGGTCTGTGGCAAGTGTGCACTATATAAAAAAAACCTTGCAGCACGCAGTGCATAATGAGAAAAAAACGGCAACCGTGCTTTTGATGTAAAACAGCAACTTTTGCGGTGTATTTTCATATGTTTTGTATGGTTGTATTCTCATTTTTTTGGTCTCATTTGATAGAATGAAAGATATAATTTTGATTGGTTTCATACTGGAAAGTACATACTACCTTAAATTGAGCTCAAAATAGCGGAAATGTTCAATTTTTGCTGATGTTTAAGAGTAAACGAATGACGTCACCATCCAATATGTGTTCAACTGGCCTGTTTAATACGCAGTCACGAATAGGTTGACATTATTTATACAGTTATTACAATAATGCAGTAGCCTGCATAACAGTAAATCTTCTATTTTTTTTGTACGAATAAAAATTCAAAGTGGAAAGCAAGTGTAATATAAGAGGGGCCTGGAGATGTAACTAATAAACAGAGAAAATGTTATTTTAGTGCCAGGAATATCTACATTGTTTATTCTGGACCCTGTTTTGAAATTGGCAGCTCTTGAAATTTGTGCAAAATTGGCCAAATTACCAATTCCTGACCACTTTATTGGGTAGTTGAAATAGGTAAATGAGCTGTTTCTTGTACTCGCCCGAAAAACTAGAAGGGATACTAGCGAAACGGCTACGAGTTTAGTAAACTGCAACAATGGAATGGGCCAAAAATGCAGCGTAAAGTGGGTGAAATCGCCGATGTGTAAATATCGCCATTGTGTTTAAGTGTATTCTAACCTAACCACTCTGCAATCTGGCACCCTACAGGTCTGATGATTCCAGAATAGTGATTGTCAACCTGTACCAGCAAAATTAGCCAATACCCACCGATACCTGTACTAGCAAAATTAGCTAATATTTTGGCACATCCCTAGCCTAAAGTTTTTTAAAGCTGTTTTTCCTGAAATTCAGGAAAAAAAAAATTTCTTTTTTCTTTTTTTTTTTTCAACACTTCAGTCGTCTCCACCGATGCAGGGTGACCCAAAAAGAAAATACTTTCATTATTATTCAACACTTTCACCTCACTCATACATAATTACTGTCTTTGCAGTGGCGCTCGGATATGACAGTTAAAAAGTCAACCTCCAAACTGTCAATATACCAAACCCCTCCTTTAAAGTGCAGTCATTGTATTTCCCATTTTTCTTTTTAGTAAGCTGTATGGGAAAAGGGGTTACTAGCCCATTGTTCCCAGCATCTTGGTTGACTTTTACAGCATGCATAGCTTATGGAGGAAAGATTCTCATTCCACTTCCCCATGGATATGAAAGGGAAAGCAATAAGAACAAGAACTATTAAGATAAAATCAAAGAAAACTCAGACGAGTGTGTATACATAAACATGTACATGTATGTGTAGCATGACCTAAGTGTAAGTAGAAGTAGCAAGACGTACCTGAAATCTTGTATGTTTGAGACAGAAAAAAAGACACCAGCAATCCTGCCATCATGTAAAGCAAATACAGGCTTCCGTTTTACACTCACTTGGTAGGACGGTAGTACCTCCCTACAGGAACAGGAGGCACACAAAATGTAAGTTACTGTATCTCCAATTAAAAACAGGTGTATGCTAAGACATGATTGGTAAAGGTCCAAGGCTCAATACCCTTCCAATATAAGGTGAATTATCAACACCCCTAACTAGCTTCCAGAGGGAACTTGACAGTAGTTCTTGGTCAATCACGACTGTGGTGCTTACATTGGATTATGTTGCTAGCACCATCCTGGAGGCCTGGTTCACATCCACATTGTGGAGAGAATGACCCTTGGAACCTTATGTGGGTGCACATGTAGGTAGATCTTCCCAAGAGCTACAGCAAACTGTGTAATGTGGCAAGATATTTTATGGGTAGAAAACCGCTGCTTGGTATAATTTTATACCAAGTAGCCATGAAAGTGATATTAGTACTGTTATGTACATAAGAGTCTGACAAAGATAATTAAAAAAAAAATGTGGAGAATGGACAGAAAATATGCCAGGTTCCTCCCAGCAGTAAGTCGTGTTCTTCAAGAACCTGATAAAATAGATCACTTAGTTGGTCCTTTCTTATTTTGAGGAAAGTGTTATATTTCATGTAATGTATGAACATGATGCAAATGTGGCTCATTCCCCAACTGAGTGATAGGAATATCAATGAAAAGCTGCTTTTTAATCAAGGATCCAAGAATGTTCATAAGAGGTAAGCATGAAGGAACATACTTTGTTCCTTGATTATTCCCGTTCTGTTTATTAGTTCACTGGTTTGCTTTAAAAAAAAAAATGCCCAAATTGTATGGGCATTGCCATTTATGATTAACATACATATTCTGAAATGATACTTCCGTCCATCCTACAATTAAGATTTAAAGGCATTGATACTTGCCCCTGTTTACATTTACTTGTACCTAAACAGTATTCCTCTAATATTAATTGTTTTGTAAAGCTTTAACTTCAGTGTTTAAAAAATGTCTTCTACATATTAGTAAGATTAAAATTCCACTTCTTAATTAACTAGGTGTGTAATTCAGGGACATACATTCAACTGGTTTCAAGGGTTCTACTCTTGTAGCCTTCCCTGACTCCAAATTTGACTGCTGCTGCCAGTAACTTGTAGGCCTTCATAGCCATCACAATCTAGCTGATTTGGTATTCTGGAATATGTTCTTACTGGTATGTATGTATGTTAATTTTGCTAGTCGTTCATGTACCATGTGACACTTGTAACAATACGGAGACTAGTTTACTTTAATGAAAGTTTCAGTAGAGCTGCAATCAGTCAACAGTCTTATTACTGGTTGTATGGTAATTTGCTCTGGATACTGATATAGTGGTTTAAGAAGCTTATGCCTTGTTTTCAGTTTTTTCTTATTGATGATTTGAACACAAAATAAAATGGTGCAAAGTGGGAGCTGTCAAATCTTTTTTTTTTTTTGTTTTTTTTTTGAGATACAGCTTTTTAGACATCCCTCCAAACTGCCAATATCCTAAACCCCCTCCTTTAAAGTGCAGGCATTTTACTTACCATTTCCAGGACTCAAATCTGGTTAACTGGTTTCCCTGAATCCCTTTACAAAATATTACCCTTCTCACACTCCAACAGCTTGTCAGGTCCCAAAAACCATTCGGCTCCATATATATATAGATATAAATTGATTGATTTTGAACAGAGGTTGGCCAAGAAGTTTGGAAAGGTTGTATTGTAAAATAAGGGAATTAAAGGTGAGCATCGAAAAAAGGAAAATGACGAGTTAAAAAAAAAAGTATATGGCACTGCCATTTCGGAGGGGAAGGAGTATAAGGTGAATGTACAGTACAGAATTTAGAAATTTGAGTTGATATGTCAACAAGTGGTGTACTCTTACTATTTTTTTTTTCTCTCTCCACTAATTTGCTTTTAGTAACCTACCTCCTTTTTTATACATTTGCAGCACTGCACAGCTCCCCTATTCACCTTATTGATAGTACTATTACTATATTCACAAGAAACAGAGTTCAGTAGGAAACAGATCTATAATAAATTACAAAAAAATATATTTTTGAAAAAGTCATGTTTGTGTTGAGAATTCATGGCAGTTTAGGGGTCTGAAGAACTGAAAAGGTACATACTTTGCATCAATCTCCATCATACTAGTTTGTACATTAGTGGCTTTAAGCTCTATCCTGAATTAAAATGATTTCTTAGTAATAAAATCACTTGCTATTCAGTTTGAGCTTCACTTTTTGTGCATCAACCCTTAGATTACTATAGTCATATATATCATCCTGTGGAATAGGCAGGATTTGAACCCATGGCAGGCCAGTCCTAAAACTAGTAGGCCATTGCTCTAACCACTGTACCCTGCTGATCAAATATTTATCCACCTAGGTAATCTCTACACTAGGAAGGTTAGCATGGACCCCACTGACCACAAATAAAGATTTTTAGACAAATCTCACACCAACATAGATGTGGCAAGATCTAGCTAGTAGGATTACCCATTCCGCTGTAATACATCTATCTAGCCAAAGGTGCAGTGCTGTATAGCCCTTGTGGCTTAGCGCTTCTTTTTGATTATAATAATAATAGCCAAAGGCACTTGAATCGCTTTAAGAAGTTTGCTTGCAGGATACATGGATTGGGGAAGGGGGATGGTTGAGACCCTTGTACAGTACCTTCTGTATACAGAACCAAAGTAATTGTAATTCTAGAAATAAAGTATGATAATGATTAAACCACTGTCCTTTTTATATTCATATTTTCTTTTTGTATATTTGAAAAACCACATCATTTACTTTTTATTTATGGTAAATATAAATACTGTTCTCTAGTTGGTAATTAAAAAGCACTTAAGTGTGCCTATTATACAGTGGACCCCCACATACCGTTGGCATCAACATAACGTTAAAATCGCATAGCGATACTTTTATCACTAATAATTTCTGCCTCGCATAGCGCTCAAAAAAAACTCGCCTCAACGCTATTCGTCCGAGACGCGTCTATGTGAGGTGTGACCAGGCTCACTTGTTCGCGGTGGCATTGTGTACAAGCCGCCATCCACGGTACATCCAAGCATACTTTCGGAACATTTCGTTATTATTTACAGCGTTTTGGCGATTTTATCTGAAAATAAGTGAACCATGGGGCCCCAAGAAAGCTTCTTGTGCAACCCTGTGGTAAAAAAAAGGGTGAGAAAATATTATCGAATTCATGTGGGTACATCGGTCCAACTGTGATGCTGCTGCTGCTGTAGCTCTCGTCAGCTGCTGCTGCTGCTGATGCACAGTCAGCTGCTGGCTGCTGGACTGTTCCACAGTCAGGGCTTGCTGCTGCTGCTGTAGCACCATCAGCTGACTGCTGTACCAACATCAGCTGCTGCTGTACCACCAATCAGATGCTGCTGTACCACCATCGGCTGCTGCTATTCCATGTAGTACCGTCTGATGTTGCTGTTAGTAACCGTATGCTGATGCTGTAGGCAACCGTCTGCTGCTTGCAAGTAGCACGTCTGCTGCTGCTGTAGCACTGTCAGCTGCTGATGCTGCCTGTAGCACCGTCAGTGCTGCTGTTTCAGCCGTCAGCTTCTGCTGCTGTGTACCACCGTCAGCTGCTGCTTTCAGCTGCTGCTGTGCTGTAGTACCATTGCTGTGCTGTTGCACCGTCTGCTGCATGCTTGTAGCCACAGTCTGCTGCTGCTGCTGCTGTAGCACTGGTGTTGGTGTGGCCTTATTGAGAATACCAAGAAACAATTAACACCTGAGGGTTTGGCCCCAGGTACCCAAAAAAGTCTGTGTCATCGAGAGACTGTCTAAATTATTTCCATTGGGAGTCCTTAATCTTATCTTCCCAGGATGGCAAAACCCCACACAGTCGATTACACCCAGGTGAACAGGGAAAAATGCCTGGGATCTAGTGCTCATATTGGTGAATTTAAGCCAGCAAAGGGTGGTTTGAGACATTTAAGAATCGTAGTGTAGTGGCATACCATACACAGTGTGATTAGGACTGTTCTGGAAGAAAATGCCAAACAGGACCTACAGTACTCAGGAGGAAAAGGCACTCCCTGGCACAGTGTTCATCAGTCATTGCTGACTCTTCAACAAAGGTTAAGAGTCATTTATTCTTCATTTGTAGAGTAGTAATGCCACAAATAATTTATTGTGCCACTGTACTGACTCTACTATTGTGCTTGTATCCTTCTCTTTTGTGTGAAGGAAGAAAATGTATATTTCATGTTGTAAAAAAAAAATTTTCATACTTTTCGGGTGTCTTGCACGGATTATTTTGATTTCCATTATTTCATTATGGGGAAAAGTCATTCGCATAAACGATTAATTTCGCATAACATTGAGCTCTCCAGGAACGGATTATATCGTTATGCGGGGGTTCCTCGTATATGAGATTAAATGACGGTTTAAAATTTGAAAATCTTTTTATGCTGTGTTTGCAAATTAATTACCACTACTATATCTATAGTATTGTAAATACTGTTGTACATATTATAATTTATTTTTTTATGCCATGCCTTTAATAATGTTTTGCAATTTGCCTTTTGGGGAGGGGGGGAATAGTGGAGCCGATACCTACTTGCACAGATTTCCCATTTTTCCTCTTGTATGTTTAATAATATAAAATTTTATCTTAAATTTTATTATGAATAAAATATTTTATAACTAATATTTGTAATAAATGTAATTTGATTGTATTTGGGCAATTGCTGGGATGTGTGTTAATCCTAGTATAAGTATTCATACTCCATCCTACTTTTTGTCCCCATCTGCTGGTGAAAAATTTTTCTAGGGTTAAGTTGGGATGAACGGGGATAGTACCATACTCTTAATAATCCTGTAGGATACATCATTCTGAAAAAAGAGCAGAAAAAAATCTTAGAGAAGCCATGATGTTGCTTACCTATCAGTGATTGATAATTCTCCATTATTGTTCATTAATTTATCAATTAACAATTTAATAATAGTATGTATAGGTCTTTATGTACTACTATCAGCGTTTCGGTATCCATGGCAGGTCGTCTTTGGAAATGTATTCCCTGTGGTTTCGGGGGGGTTCTATGTATATATCTTAGTTAAAACTTCTGGCTATTGCTTATTATTCTTAATTAGAAATGTCTCAATGACCAGGTTTTGTAGCTATTTAAGAGTACTGAATCAAGATGTGTCACCTGTATCAAAAACATTTTTATCATTTTAATCAAAAAGAAGCGCTAGACACATAGGGCTATACAGCGTGCTGGGTTAGCGGAAGGAAGCAAGGGAATTGGATGGCAGGAGGAGGGGGGATGATCAGCAGGCTTCAGAAAACAGAGAGGGGCAGGGGATAGGTACGGGGGTAGGGTTAGCAAAAGATACATGTAGGAGAAGGGGCTTGAAAGTATCAGAATTGTTGAAGTAAGTCAGTTCGTTGTCAAAAGTCAATAAGAGATCCGGATGTAAGCGTGGGTTCCATCAGCGAGACAGGGAAGGTAAGAGAGAGCAGCGGGGCGAAAGACGACGACTGAGAGGTAATTCTGCGTGCTCGTTGATAAAGTGGGCATTCCAAACAGAATGTGGCTGACTGATAATGGAGCTTTGGCAATTCTCACAGACGAGGAGCAAGACGGACTCTACATGAGTTATCCCATGAGTAAAGCTACGTGTATGGCCAATGCGAAGCCGGGAGAGGAGTAGTCTCCCAACCTCGGACACTGGTGATAAGAAGATGGCCAGTATCCTATATCGGTTGAATAGACTGAAGTTTGTTGCCGGAGTGGTAGACAACGTTGTTGAAACGGGTGTGAAGGAGGGTAAAGATATTTCTGCAAATAGTCCGTACATGAATACTCTATATGAAACTGGTAGGTCAGTGTACTGCCTGAACCGTAGCTGCAGTGTCTGCCGTTCATTTGCACTGTTCGTCAACATGACCAGGGACACAACAAAAAAAAAATCAATATCTTTATGCTTAGTAAAGATGCGGCGTGGCCAAAGTCTGGATACGGAGGACTAAGGGGTGACGGCTGTATCAAATTTTTGTATAGCCTGGATAAAGCACTAAGGGAGTCTGAGGACAAACCACAAATGATGACACAGGCATGATGCATTACGGGATAAGTGCCCCTTTTTCGTAAGGATGGCATATATATTCAGCAGTAAAAATACTTAGCTGAAAGATAGTAAATGCCTTGTACGACGCTGTCCGGAAACCTGACTGGCGAATCCTTCGCCGTACAGAAGAACTTAGTGCCATCTGTGTACACAGCTATGTCATGAGTATGAGAGTGAAAGGGTCAAGAAAAAGAGAGCGGGAAGAAAGCGACCGTAGACAGTTGGGCTTTCGCGCAAGGCGAGGGAGAAAGAACAGACGCGAACTGCTGGGACTCCCAGGGGGGTAGGGGAAAAGTGAGATGCTACATGTACATTAGAAAGGTGGTTAGTTGAAGAGGGAAGAAAGGAGCGAATGATATAAACAGGGGGGGGGCGAAGAAGATAGGGACGGAGTAAGCAGGGGCGGCGAACAAAAAAGAATGTATACCTAATATCAGTGACATTCAGCTATAAATGGAAGGATTGCGGAGATCATGGTGAGCGTACATAGTATTGCGCAGGAGGGCATCACGGCGATCGGATAAGGATGGAACGTTCGCTTCTGCCATGAGGCCTTTCACAGGGGAAGAGCGAAAAGCACCAAGGCATGCACGTATCTTGGTGTGAATGGGGTTAAGGCTAGAGAGAGGCAGGGGATGCGCTGAATAGATCTGAGTTCACCATAATCAAGTTTCGATTAAAATAAGGGTGGAATGTAGGTGAGGAGCGGTTCGACGATCAGGCCCCACGAAAGATGAGCAAGGGTTTTATGAAGGTTCGCCGGCTAGTGACAAGGTTGCCTTCAGAGAGGTAATGTGAGGTTTCCAGGATAACTACGATCAAAGAGGAGGCCCAAGAAACTTGACTGTTATCCACGTTCAGGGTTACGGAGCTTTAGAGGTACAAAGGTTGATCAGAGATGACAGAGCGTTAGTGAAAGTGATTTGGTGGGTTTTAGTGCTGGAAAATTTTAAACCACATGGTGTGGTGGCCCAATTGGAAACACGTTCTCGACTGCATGCTGGAGAGAAACTGTATGAGGTGACAGTCAGCGCCTGCACAGGCAATAGCGAAAGTCATCAACATAGTTGATGAAAAATATTTTGATGGAAGACTAGAGGTCAAATCATTATATAGGGAAGGAGAAAAAGTGTTGTGCTCAGAAACACATCCTGGGGGCACCTTAAGCTTGAGAACAAAGTCGGGGAGGCACCATTATTAACCCTGAAACACGGAATGCCTGTCAGTTTTAAAAGTTCTTAGGAAGGATGGTATAGATTGCCTCGAAGGCATAAGGGAGTGGGCTTGGGGCTAAAATATTTATACCTCCAAGTGTGTCCAATATCCTTCTCAAGGTCAAAAATATGGCAATAACTGAGATGGTTATTCGCAAAGCATTACAACATACGTACTCCAGCGCTAGTAAGGTGGTCTATTGGATTGAAGTCCCTAACAGAAAGCCATATTGACGAGTGAGGGACCCTGTTGTGTGTCTCTATATACCACCACTAAACGTCTATTATAGAGTTCCATTACCTTTGCAACTGCACTGGATAGTGCAATGGGACGATAGTGGGGAGGTTTCATGTCCCGTCTAGTGCCTGGTTTGCGGAAAAGGAGAAACAATGGCGGACTTTTCCTCAGCTGTGGAAATG